ACCTGAACTTGTCTACAGGTCAGCATGCTTTGCAGTCTCCTTAACTTGTAGTCTCATTACCTGAGGAGAATCCTACTTGAATCTCCCTTCCCCCCAATTGTTGCAGATGGATACCTCTTTAAACCCTAATTCCTCCCTCCCTAAACCCTAATCCTCCCTTTTCTTCTCAATGCCAATAGCCTCCAAAGTTCCATTGCTTTAAGCCCTTCCCTTTCTTCCCAAAGCCATTAGTCCCAAAGTTTCTTTACTTCTTCCTATGGTCTGCCATTTGCGACTCTTACTTAACCCATGGTCTATTGCTTGCGCTTCACCCATTTCGTTCCCCTTTCTGAGCTTTGACTTCCCTTGTTCATAGAGAGGCCAGTTGCTGTGTTTGCCCCTGGTGTCCGTTTGCCATGTGTTGTTGGTCTTCTCTGAACCAATGGAAGATCAGCCTGTGCCCCTCTATTGTGACTACTTCACCTTTGGCCAGTACTCTGTTCTGGAATTCCGTGAGAATGTCCTTGGCCTTTTCAGGGTTAGCCGCTGCCTGCTTCTTGGCTTGCTGCCATTGAGCTGTAATGTCCGTCTGTAGCAGATTATGTAGTGTTGCTCTGGCTTCCATTCTAGTTGACGGGCTTTTTCCTATCACGTGTTGACATCTTCTTTTCCATACTGTCCATAATGTGTATTGTCTCAGCAGCTTGTAAATGCACTTATGACTTGAGTACCATCCTCTCGGGACTTCAGTTCCTGTGAGCTGAACTTTTTTACTCCTTGGAAACGAGAAGTCCGTGATGCGATCCCTCAGGGTTCGAGCTATGGACCAAACATACTCCGCTTCCGGGCAATGCAGTAGGCAGTGAACCAATGTTTCGGGTACTCCTTCCGTGCACATGGCGCTGTTTTGTTCCCTCACATCTCTGTTGTTCTTGCTTCGTTTTTCATACAGCCAGGCGTTGACTGGGAGTGCTACATGAAAAATGAGCCACTGCATACTCAGCCTGATGCTGTGCAAAATCGACCACGACAATTTTCCTATTTGCTGTCTTGGTATTCCAACCCTCTTTTCCCACCTCACCGCCAGTGGTTGATCCATATGGGTTGATCTCTTTCTTAACCGATACCCCCATTTAGTAGTGTAGTGGAGTACGTTAACTCTGTTAATGACCCATTCCCTTTGATGTTCCATGCCCAGTGTGCTGGATCAATTTCCAGATCTTGGATAGGTGTTGTAGGAGCACAATCACCCTGACTTTCGTGAGGAGACATTTGTTGATGGATATTGGAACCCGTGTTTCTTTGTCCAATAGACTAACCGTAAAGCCTGGGTTCAGGATTGGATACATGTCTGCCTCCAGCCACTGATTGGCTGGGCCTACCTCCTGGTGAAATGAGGAACGCTTGGTCTGGTTCCGAGCTTGAGGTCCAAGTTGCCCAGTCACCCCAGCCCCATTTGAACGGGCCCCGCAATATTTGCGTTCATGCTTGGGGTATGGATATAAGCACTTCATTCAAATTCTCGGTTAGCCTGTGACACCCTTTCATTTCCTCTCTCATTTCCCTCCCTGTTTTCCACCTATTGTGAGTTTGTGACCATAGATGATTTACTTGCCATACCCCATGCTCCACCCAATTTCCCCACTTGGCGTCCTTTGCTGTAAGTGTTTTGGGATTCCCTTGAGTGTCCTTCAACCACAGGTTACAAAACAAAGGCTGCTCTGATTCCTTTTCTATTCTCTGTTTCCCCCCCTTTTTCAGCTGGGTATCGCAGTCAGAGTGACCGGGGTTAAGTAGCGGTGGTGGGTTGCACACTGTCAGAGTCTGAGAGCGGAGTGCATGTTTTTTTGATTGGCATGTCCATGGTGTGGTGTGGTGTGGGTTCAAGGACGCTACAGCCCTGGAGGTGGGCTGGATATTAAGACCAGTATGGATCCAGTTTTAACAACCCGTCCAAGGGTTGTAGTGTGCAATAAATCGCAGTTTCCCAGTGGGGCTGTACACTAAGTGTTTGGCTTTGTAGTTTGTTTTCTTGTTCTGAGCCTTGTGGGACTTGATCCCGTGACCTGCAATTTCTATGTTTTGTTTGTTAGTTTTGAGCCCTATGGGACTCGATCCCTATGTCTATCACTACTAGTCTCTGTTTGGTAGCCTTAGGCCATTCAACCTTTTCCTTTTGCCTTGTCATAGGTCTAGGTCCCCTTTTCCCCCTGTTTCCATCTAGATGCAGATGAGACGGTTTTCACCTTTTAGCAGTAGGGGATGCAGTACCCAGGGTTCGATCCCTAGACCTCACACTACCTATGTACAGTATCTGTATAGAACCCGAGAATTGAACCTGTGACCTGTGTATTCGCAGACAGTTGGTAGGTCTGTCGTAGGTCCCTAGGCAGCAGGGGTTCGATCTGTAGGTCTATACCGTATAAGTCTTCGTGAGTTCCGGAAGCTTAGCTGTAGACCTTCTAGAAGGTAGGCAAGTGGGCAAGTGGTCAAGTGGTGAGGCAAGTGGTGGACTAAACCGCAGTGC